AACTGAAAATATAAAAATAAAACCCAAATGAATATAAAATATAAATAAAATTGGACAACAAATGCACAAAATGTCAAAAGCAGGTAATGGGATTGAACTAAAATTAATTCTACTAAATGCTTTACAACACACTTAAGACACAATTAAAAATGCATTATCACATTTTAATTTAAAAGAGTTAAATGTGTATGAATGCGTGAAATGAAGGGCAGTCTAACACCTTCTAAAGTCAGTGTATTAGGCAGGACATCCATCGGTTGCTCGAGGACTTGAGCGTCATTAATGTGTGTAAATGGTCACCGGGGGTATTTCTTTATTTCTGGCGGCTATCTTCACAGGACGACTGTGCCATTATTCTGCATCAGGTGACGTGAGGAAGGGAGATATACTGTTCTCTAGTGTATAATGAGAGTTCAGGTGAGCGCTTGGGATCCTTTTTGCCCTTGATGTTAAAGAAGGTAAATGCGATTGTGGGAAAAATGATCTCACGTGCTTCTAACTTTTAATTGAATGTTTTAATTCCCTCTCTCGTATCATTGCTTTTGCCTTCGAAACCCCACAATCCCTCTTGCCCTCACCTTCTGGATCGACCGGCACTGCTGTTTTCCCCTTCGCTCTCGTGACTGTGATTTAATCGTCCCGCAGCAGAAAAAAAAAGCAAACACCGCTCAATTAATTTATGCTTTCAAATGTTTTCGTCAATAACCTATCTCCTAGAAAAGCTTACAATCACATGGAGAGCAAATTAAATAACAATTAACGGTGGTTATTTGCTCGCCGTTAGCTTGAGGACGCATCTCTGCCTCTGCCGTGGCGTTTTTCAACCGTTAATCAGAGAACTGGCAGAGCGAAGTACCGTTTAATTCGTGAGGTGCTTTATAAATGTAATACTGATTAGGTGTGTGTGCATGTGTGTGTGTGCTTCTTGGTGAAAACCGAACAATTACTGACTTGTATTTTTATTTTTAAATACACCACTGATTTTTGTGAAATGCTTTTGGTTGCTGTTTAGATACCAATATCAGGATGAAATTGAGCGGGAATCCTGATCAACAGTGTCAGTTAACAGTACAAGCCTATTTGCTGAATTTATTTCATGTTTTCAGTAGAGATACTGCTTTTGTAAACCGCATATGTGGTGCTTAAAGGGGTGGTTGCCTTTTTCTGGTAGTCCTTAAATAGCGATTACTTTAAAAGAAAATATCTCCCTTTGAATTGAACTTTGAGCATCGTGACTTTGCAGACGTTGTTTATGCTCTAACAGCAACATTACACACTAACTAAACTTAAAAAAAGTGAAATCATAATCAACCACCCCTTTAAATCACTTACTTTGTCAAAATGTGGATTTTGCAATGAGAAACTCATAAACAGTAAAACAGTTGGGATTAGTTTGAGATGGTTTGAAGTATATAACTGCCCCAAACGAATCCCAAACATGTTACTGAATGAGTTTGTGGAAAGGATGACAATACTAATTATTTTAATTCGTATATGTACAGTAGACGGTATAGCATTTAAAAGGCATTCAAATACATCTGATATGTTTAAAACTAGCTACCATTCATGCCACATTAATGTTCTATTAGATCATAGTTTATCTAACAAATCTAATGCATCCCACTTCAGAAAACAATGTTGGATCTGTGTCTTTAATGCTTTAAGAGAAAGGGACACCAAAGTGTAGTGTATTCATGGAAAGTGCTGCTAAAACAATGCCAGACTCCAGAAATCCATATTTAATTATGCAGCGGAGCTAAAGAAAGTATTTTGCTGTTAGTTTGAGAAATATGAATAGAAAATGTCCCAGGGAAAAACCTCCCTCATGCCCGGAGAGGACCAAGGACGAATGTATTTGGCTGAACTCGTGGAGTTTTAATAGACGGAGAATTTGAGGTTCTGTATTGTGCAGCGGAGACCAAAGATCGATTCCTCTCAGGAGAGAAAATGTATAGTCTCACAGGCATATTTTGATTTCCAACAATACATATAGCCTGAAAGGCATTGATTTTCAAGCAGCATGGATTGTCACATTCGATAATTATTAGCAGCATTGCATCTGTTCCTCTAAGGTTGACTGCAGGCATTTGGCTTTATGGCAGGTGAAATTTGGCTCGTTTTAAAGAACATGATTCACACGTCGACCTTGGCATTGCTTTAAAGACTTACGCACACCCAGAGCCAATACGCAATTAGCGTTGTGCTGAGCTTTGGATAAGTGTCTTGTACATTATTTGTTGACCTTTCCATAAACCTTGCCGATAAATTAGCAGAGTCGAGTGAGCGTGAGTCTGGTAATTTCTGCATTGACACATTCTGCATTGAACACAGGGGACAGCTGAATCTGAACAGTAAGCCAATGTTCACATTAAATCATTTAGTACATTCATTCAATTTACGAATGAGGAAAAACACAAGCCATTTATCATAAAGGAGCCATAGCTATTAGTTGTCCTGAAAGAGCGAATTTCAAAAGTAACCCAGAAATGGAAATGTCTGAAATGTAGTCTGAGATAAGATGTGTCATATGTGTATAGCAGTCATAGCAAAAGTTATGCTCCTTTATAATTGTTGTAGCATACATTGAGAAGAGTAGTGGGCCTAGTACTGAACCCTGCAGCACTCCAGTGCTTAGCCGATCCCACCCTTCCTGGAAACCTTTAAACTTTCAGATAATGAGTAGGCATTGTGCATGGGGGTTAAATGGGTGACATACATAATATACAGAAGTACAGAAGTGAGGTAAATTGCTAAACTGTATTGTGAAGGCAGCTGAACTAACAACAAGATGTGGTGCACCACAACAGATAAAACCTGCTATCAGCTAATATGACACAATGTTGGGGTCAGACACAAGTATTGGTTAGACATCAGAATGATCCCTCAGCAGCTTTTGTCGTAACTTTATACCTGCATGTTTAGGAAAACAGACTGACATGTAACTTTAGCTGCAAAGTACCTCCTAACAGACAATGACTACACACCACAGAAGAGCTCAAATTAGATGCTCATCCACTGCGTTATGTAGCTCACAGTCTGTGAAAGTCACGAGAGGATTTAGAGTAGAATGTTTGCAGAAAGACATTTGTGTTATTGCCCAAGGGATTATTATTGGAAGTGTTTTAAATGAATAACAGGGGAAACATCAGGCAATTCTGGACATCACAGAGCAGCTGTGCTGCTTTATGCTTTTTTTCAAATGGATGAATCATGAAACCTGCCAAGAACATGTCTAGGTCATATTTCCCCCTCAAAACTATATTTTGCATAAATATTTTATTTTTATTTTGTGTATGTGTGTGTGTGACATTATTTTCATTACAGTTAACCATCCTCTTCTACTGAGATCATTTCCTTTTACTGAGGTGTTAAATTATGAATTAAACCTTGAGATGTATGAATTTCGAAACACAGACCTTGGCAATTGGTTGGCATAAATTAAGGACATCTTCAAATCTTTGCTGATTCGCAGCACTCTGAACGAGTGTTATAATGATTTCCGAGACACTGAGGAGAGTTTCAAGCTCTTTATGAGCTGCAGGAAATCCACCATTACAGCCGATGCCTCCCTCTGAGGCGCTGAAGTGTCGTAATCACTCCTTAGTCACTATTTAGACAGGGATATTATTCCGTTGTCTATCATTCATTCATTCAAATCCTTCACTGTTTTCTGGAAACAAGAGAAAATGTCCCGGGAACTGTCAACATAGAAGCTTTCACTGTACAGTGATACGGCAGCTACACCATAGAGGCTCATTTGCACTATTGTAAAGTAAATCTACAGCAAATCATTGCATTTCTAACCCATTTTTACACAACTTTTCCAAAAACATGGTGAAATGCAGTGTAGGCAGTGGTAGTAGTGAAAGAGAGGCGGTATATCTGTGTAAGCAGTATTTTGGTGTTTTTGTGTACCTGAGCTGAGGTTCACAGAAAGTGAATCCCAGACGATGTCTGCGGTTCAGTGGTAATTACTGTGTGTTTGTGTGCGTGTGTGTTGGTAATGCTCCCTAGAGGCTTGTTGACTTTGTGTTTGTTTTAGATTGCTTGTATTTGCTGGAGGTTCACAGAAACACACACACACACACAAGGTGGTTAACCTTCAGAAAATGTTGGTCAAACTTGAGTTCCAAAAATACATCAGACCGCTAGGTATTTATTTATTTATCTTTTAGCTACATTTTGTGCTGAAGATGTGGATATTGAAATTGAAAATCACCAATGACCACAAATATAACTGAAAGAACATTTCTAAAATAATTATTTTGGACACAATTCTTCATAATGCAAAGATATTGGTAATCCTCACCTTGCTCTCATAGTTTTGATTAGAATACATTACATCTGGGTTGAGCGGTCGTCTGTATGTCTAGGTGCGAATGAGCCTCTAGTCATGGTCTGCTGAGAGTAATTTAACACTTTTACACTTCTTTTTAGTTTTCTTTTGATGTTTGAGGGATGAAGAGAATGTCACCTAATTACATTTTCCAAATGATTATTGAAAAGAAATGATCGTTGCTATAAAAGTATATAGTTTATTAATTTGTTTTCTTTTCACAAATTGCCGTTGTGGAGATAATTCAACAATTCAAGAGAAATATATGGTTTATATATAGCTACAAACCAGAGCAGCTTAATTTAGAATACACATTTGTAAGCCTTGTACTTGCAAACCCATTCTGCCGTGATTTACTGACTAGACATTTGCTCTGTTTAATGTGGATGTTTGTTGAAAAATGACGAGGTCACACAAAAATAATTCAACTGTATGTAGAAGTTGGATGGGTAAAGGTTTATCGCCTCGCTCTAGTTCTTTGCTTTACTCCAAAAGAGTTTATTAGGTCAGTAAACGCAAGTCCTAATGCATCATTTGTATTATCAACGTGAATATTAAAACGTGTGTGTCTTTCCTCACGCTGAGTTCCTCATGCAGGTTCCCGCAGCAGCTTCGGTGAAAGTGTGTGTGTGTGTGTAACAGTGCTGGTGTTCCTGTGTTTCAGAGGATCAGCTGCCCCCAGGTTTCCCCACCATAGATATGGGCCCCCAGCTCAAGGTGGTATTTACTGACTAGACATTTGCTCTGTTTAATGTGGATGTTTGTTGAAAAATGACGAGGTCACACAAAAATAATTCAACTGTATGTAGAAGTTGGATGGGTAAAGGTTTATCGCCTCGCTCTAGTTCTGTCTGTTTAATATTGATGCTATTTGAATGCTTACTTACTGTGTGTGTCTTTCCTCACGCTGAGTTCCTCATGCAGGTTCCCGCAGCAGCTTCGGTGAAAGTGTGTGTGTGTGTGTAACAGTGCTGGTGTTCCTGTGTTTCAGAGGATCAGCTGCCCCCAGGTTTCCCCACCATAGATATGGGCCCCCAGCTCAAGGTGGTGGAGCGCACCCGTACTGCCACCATGCTCTGTGCTGCTAGCGGTAACCCCGACCCAGACATTTCCTGGTTCAAAGACTTCCTCCCGGTCAACACCAGTAACAACAACGGCCGCATCAAACAGCTCCGATCAGGTAATTTCCCTCCGTAACGCTAGAAGAAAAGCAACGACAAGAGCCGCTATTGTCCTTCTTTCCGTTTGAGTTTCTGTTCTTTCTCATGGAGCCTTTTCTTTGGTTTTCTGTAGGAAACGGCATCTACGTCGTCTGCGTCCCCTCTGTGTGTGATGTGTCTTGTGTTCCTGTCTGTTTAATTTATTACCCATGATTCACTGCTATGACTGCATTTTTGGCCAGCTTAAATTGGGCTTTTTTTTGTTTCCATTTTAACACTTAGTTGCAAAAAGCAGCCGAACCATGCATAATAAATAAGTGTCGTTCTCCATGTCCTTATTTTCCTTCCTCCAATGCGCAATGAGTAAGATCTGGCTTCATTCAGAGCTCTCGAAAGAATCATCAAAGTTGTTTTGTTTGTTGCTCTCATATCATGATGCAGCACGCGACCTGGCGAACCTCGATTATGCCCAAAAACGAGCAAAAAAAAGAGCGTCCTTTTGTGTGTGTGTTTGTGTGACCCTCGTTGTGTGTTTGCGCATCCAACTGACCAAATTCAGGGCTGAAAACGTTGGTGATTCTTTGCATCGGGTGGTCTCTTTTTAAGTAGCGCAAAACCCCCGTTTCGTTTGCAAAAGACGTAAGCTGACCGTGTCGCTCGAGTTGCTCCGATGTGTTTTCCAGCCCTCGATGCTACGACATGTCTTCCCAGAGTCCTCCGCTCTGCCCTTGTCCTGTTTTCTGCCGTTGTCTGATTTCTCTCTTGATTTTCACCCTGTACAATAGAGTGTCAGATTTAAGTGTGTCAACCAGAGCAAACGTAAGGAATATAATCATATTTTCTATGCTGTCTTTCTTCTCTCTGTTTTGTAAATCTCCAGAGTCCTTTGGTAAGTTTGTAGATCTGAACACACATGCCTCCCACTAATGTCTCCACTATGTTTCTCAAACTACTGTTAAAATGCATGGCATGCATTTTACTAACGGTGTCAATAGGCCAGCAGAACACACTGACTAGCTGACTAGCAGTAAAGCACACGCTCAGGGCCACACTGGCAGGACCGACACTGACACTCTCACTCCATCTGTGTCTCTAAAGCTCACAGCTCAAAGACTCTCCACTGTTTCCCAGTCAATCAGTCCTCAGCTCCCCTCTCCCGCTAGATCACGGCCACTGCCACAGGTCTCAGAACGGCCCCTTGTGCTTCATCCACTGTGCCAGTTGCTCTTTGACCTCCTAAAGTGACCAATGCTCAATCCTATGCTTTTCTCCACTAGAGCCAATGGCTGTCTTTTCTGAATCTCTCTTTCCTGTTGTAGCCTAATACAGTCTGTAAGAAAGCAAAGCAAAGCTAATTTGATTCTTCTTCCAAAGCGGCCAGCCTCTCTTCTCGCACTAACGACTCTTCTTTCTTAATCTTATTTGCATTCATATAATCCACCCAGGTGGTACGCCAATAAGAGGTAAGAGTGCTCAACTCGAGTTCACAGAATGAACAACTGACTTCATTCTTCCTGTCCCTCATGTGTCTGCATCCATCGAACGCCCCGGCATCTTCCCATCATCCCTCCTCCATCCCGTTCTGTTCCATCTCTCGCCATTTTTGCCTCGGTGCTTTTCGGTTCTTTGGTTTGGTTTTGGTTTCAGTTCGAGAAAGCCTCTCGTATTTTTGGTTGTTTTTTCTTCCGAGCCGATATGCTTACTGCAGCCCAAAGAAGCATATCCTATACGTGTTTTTTTTGTTTTGTTTTTCTCTCTCTTTCTCTCTCTCTTCTGCTTCATTGTTTTTGTTATTATTTTTCTTATCTTTTGGCCATAGCAGATCATGTGTCCCTTTTTTCGTCCAACTAAAACAGCCAAACATTTTTCCCCCCTTAGCTGTGTTCTTGTTCAGCCGCACATGAGCCCAGATGTCGGAGACACGCCGAAGACCTCTCTGCCACGATTTTACCCCAAAAAGCATCTTTCTGTCTTTACAAACTTCTTTTTTTTCTCGCTATTCGTCCTCCATTTGCTTTCCTCTACCTGTACCCTTCTCAAAAGGAGCTAAAAAAGCCCAAACAACCACTTTTTTGATAAAGTTTCTGCGGTGCTTTTTTCCTTCCACCACCTATTTTTTCCTTCTTGCTTTTCTTGGGTTGAAGGCTGTTTTCCTTTTTGACGTTTTTATTTTTTCCATTCTTCAGGGTTGGGGAAAAGCTAACAGTGGGTCTGGCAGACGAAACCGAGGTGGCTGTTTTGTGTCATTTTTTTTGTGTTTTTGTTTTTTGGTCAAGCTCCTCAGGAGGCGGCGCTTCGGTGCATTGCAAGAAGCCTTTTTCCCTGGGTCATGTGACACCACACTGCTGATCCCATTGGTGGATTTTTATGGGTGTCATTTGTAGCGCAAAGCTATGGCAGTGATTGGCTGCTTTCTTGTCGGCGCAAGCCGTTTTGAATTTTGACCTCTAATACAATTGCATTTTATTTTTCAGCTAAGGGTTGTCAAAAGGTTGTAAGTTGTGCCGACACACATTTCTTGTTCTTTGGAAAGATTTGCATGTGCTGGAGGTTTATGTACTGGTAACGATAATTCTCCCAACAGATTTTTTTCTTCTTCCATTTTTACGATTTAAGCAGCCTACTTTTTTCCTAAAATGCTGCGCCTTTTCTGACTTCCACCATCTGAAGTCCTTGGCCATTTTATTGAGCGATCAATTTGAATTGAATTTAACACCAAATTTTATTAGCCAAATTTTTTTTTTAATTGTCCTCCCCCTTTTATGCTGCTTTTGTATACTGTAAACCTTTTTTTATTTGAGTCATATGCTGCTGTATTGCAGTTTTCACTCATTCCCATAATGAACAGTCCTGTGAAATGTGTAATAATATTGCAGGGCTCCCCCCCCCCCCCATCACCTTTTGTAGACCTCTCAATTAATAACTGATCAGTATTATTATTGATTATTATCACAACTGTTTTTCTAAACAGTAAAGCTCAAACGATTTTGAACCACCCGTACGATTAAGTGCCTTTAGAAACCCTGCAACATGTATCCTGTACTGTATGTTTTCCTCTCCATTGATGTGGTTGTAAAATGTCCGAGATAATTGATGCTGCAAAGTCTCTTTTCTTTTGGTTTCTTTCTGTGTGCCCTCTCGAATGTCTACTGCAGTGCTCGCCGCGCTCTTCTCTAGGCCGGCGCCTAGATAGTCAGCATGGCGAGATACGAGCTCACAGCACACTTCGATTTAAGCACCTCAGAATGACTCCATTCCTGACAAAATCATAATATGCATCACGGATCCACCGTGAAATCCATCTTTAGTGCCAAAATTGCTTTCCCATGATGCATGGGGCCTAGAGAATGAAACACTGCGTTAGACATTTTGAGGGGAAACATTTCTACCCCCAGCTTCCAGGAGCTTAGCTTGCATAAAGTGGTTAAGTCTGTACCGAGCTCTCCAATGCGAGGCATGCCTGCAGATGTCGCCTCTCAGGATTAAGCGTCAGTATAGCGGCAGGCCTTTAGCCTGAGCCATTTTGTGGCAGAGACCTAAAGAGAGCAAATAACGCCATTTATAGAGAGAAATAGGCCTAGCGTGTGATTTGGTGAAAGTTGTTAAATGGCTGGTGTTATTATTGTAATTATCTTTCTCTGCTCGTGTTCTCTCCCACTGTGTAGGAGCGCTGCAAATCGAACAAAGCGAGGAATCGGACCAAGGGAAGTACGAATGTGTCGCGACCAACAACGATGGCACGCGCTATTCCGCACCTGCCAACCTGTATGTCAGAGGTAGGAACAGCTCACGGCGGTAGACGAAGCCGACAAAAGAACATGTAAAACTCAGACGCACACACATTTTAAACAAATCGAGCCCAGTTTTGTCGCTGGGGTCCCTCTGGTTACGTGAGCATTTTGTAAGTGCGACATTTGCTGCAGCCTTGATTTTCTGCCTGTCTGGTGTTGGAATTGTAATTTAACCTTTATTAACTTGAATGCTTGTTGTGTATGTTATATGACTGACTCTTAAGATAACAGGATTGATGGATTGAGCTTAACCTCTCTACTCTCTACAGCAAATGACTGAGCGCTCTGTTTTTCATCTCTCTTTACTCGCAAATATGGAATAAATCTATCTGAATTTATTTTAGAGCAAAATAAAATATATATATATATATATATATATATATATATATATATATATTTAACTTAACATAAATTGTGGTCAGTTTTTACAGTATAATCTTATTTTGTATTCAGTGGAATCTTTAGTCTGAAATGTAGTGTAAAAGCCTATGATGTAATATATATGGAGGCTTCTTCAATTAAGTGAACACTTCTGTCCCTAGGATGTGTTAGTGAAAAAAAAAGACTGTAGTTTTAATGGAGAGATTATCATAGCTTGAAATTAATTATGTCAGAGAGCTGCAATAGAATTACTCAATACTGCTGTCATATATCTGGGTTTATATGTGGTCTTCTGGGAAATGAGAAGTGACGTTTTGAAATGTTATTAATTTTAAGATTTTTACATCAAGTAACTTTATTAGATGTAATTACCTAATTGGCCACTATTTCGGAACTTTAGTTCAGAGATAATCCATTAAAAGGTGAAATAAATATTTAATTTTTTTTTCTTTTTTCAAGCAATCAGAAGGTACCCTAAGTGAAGAATCACTCCACTGTATAAATATAAAATGTTTTTTTTTATTTTTTTTTTTATACTGATACTGGCACATTAAAGTCAACATGAAACTGTGTTTGCAACCCTTTTTACTTTGATAGTGAGACATATTTCATATAAAAAAGAGCTGTTTATTTTTCATTTCATCCATAAGGAAATGATTGGTTGGTACAAACTTAAAAACACCTGCGCTCTGTAGCCGCTGAATCTCTCATATTAGTCAGAAAACTGCTTATGATTTCATGTTGACTTTAAGCCTAAATTTGTCATAAAATATGTTCCATTTTATAAACCTTGCAGGCCTGATGTCCAGCGCTGCTCAGACAAACATGTTACTGCTTTAAATACTGCGGCTGTATTCATGCACAGGTCCCAGTCATGTGGTTTACATGAAAAACCAAAGTATGTTTCTCAAAGGCTCTATGAACAAAACTCCAGAGGAACAACCACAGTAACTGCTGATGGCATGTAAAGCTCATAACTGGACCTGTGTCACATTGTTTAATGGGCAGCGCAATAAAAGACTTGTAAAATGCCGCACACTTTTCTTTTCCTAGACATTCTGTCTCTAGCAGCAATTCTCTGGGTTGAATGTGGCCTGTTTTACTCTCTCTGTATTTTCCCTTGTTTTTCTCCTCATTTTATTTTGTTTCCGCATCAATTCCCTACATCCCTCAGAGCTGCGAGAAGGTTGGTGTGTTTTTTTTTTTTCTAACCATCTTCAAATTAAGAAAACAAATGATACAGACGCTAGTCACAATTCCCAAGAGTATGAAAAAATGATTGTAGCTGCATTGGCGTGTCTATGATTCAGTTCTGCTTTTGGTTCCTTATGTTCTATGTTTTGGACCGTTTTTTCTTCTTTTCCCTTTTGTTGTGGTCTGAACGAATGCTCTCCTGCTCTCCGCTGTACTGCTTGACCAAAAAGTGGTGCATGTCAGTCAAAATGTGCGTAGTTTTCGGGGGGTTTGCATGGTGGATTGGTCATGCTGAAGTTGTCTGTCTTCTCCCACATGTCAGTGGTCCTGCTTCGTTACTTTGACCGACACGTGCTTTCCTAACGCCTAGAAAAAAGTCCCATTCGCTGACCTTCACCACGGCACAAACTGCGATGAGACATGCTCCGTAGCTCTGTGAGATCAGATATTTTCTTTCCTTTCCACCTAACGAGCTGCTAATAAACGACAATTGATGCATGTAGAGCGTTGTTCTCAAGACCCGACAAACGGAAAGCTATTCAGATGAAAGGGAAAACATCATGTCTCCCAGCGTTTCAATTGGAAATTAATTGCAATAGGATTGAAAATCTGTTCACAATGATTAGAGATTTCATCTCCAGAGAAGCGCGACATCTCTGGTCGAATGCGTGCCGCACGTCGTCGAAGTTGTTATATTTCCTTCTTTTTCCTCCATTTCTGGTGATTTCACACAGAGACTTCATATTTCAACTCCTCACTATACGTTGGTTTAGGTCCATCCTGTTGTTATTTTAATTTCAAGTGATATAATGAAGATCCTGGCCACGGACAGGAGGAGAGAGTTAGACTCAGGTGTGACGAATAGGAGCAGGTAAATGGGATTTAACCCTGACCATAGTGTAGAGTTCCTCTAATCTGACCCTGCAGACTTCAGCTCAAAGCCTGATTAAACTCACCTACCTGTAACTCTGAAGACTTTAATTAGCTGTCTTATTGGGGTTAAAATCAAACTCTGCAGATCAGTGGTCTGGATTCGAGGAATGTTATGGAGTGTTATGTTCTAATCATAGAGAACTAGTTTAGTGTTTCCCAACCCTGTTCCTGGTTGCACACCAACAGTACATATTTTGGACATCTCCCTTCTCTGACCCAACCATTTCAAGTCCTGGAGTCTCTTGAAGATGTGTTTGAAGACATGTGCTGTTGGTGTGCCTCCAGGAACATGTTTGGGAAGCACTGATCTAGTGCACTGCCGCCAAATGTCCCAAATAATCTCTACAAAAATCTTGCGAGATTTGTTATGATGGACCTCTCAAACTTTGTCAAATCCGTCGTCCTCAGATGGGCTCATTGTAGCAGGACTGATATAAGCTGCTGCACACTGACTCCCTGAAGCTGCGTAAAGCCGGTGGAGTCTGTCGCTTTGAGAAAGCTCCTGCCACTGTTGTGTGCATTATACATCATCCGGTGCCGTCTGAGACTGACAGTATTTAAGCAGTAACACTGACATCGGTTCAGTTATTTTGAACTCTTGAATCTTTTCCCACCCTTCTGCTGTCCCTTAAACCCTCTTCTGAGGAGCTGGCACATAGTATCCCTGTCTCTCTCTCTCTCTCTCTCTCTCTCTCTCTCTCTCTCTCTCTCTCTTTCTGTCTTGGAGACTCCTACTTTTAATAACCCTGTTGATTTTCTGTTATCTGACTCTACTAGTCCTCCCCCTCATCCTCTTCTCTCCTCTTGTTTCCCATCTCTCTCTAATTCCCAAAGTTTACCTGTGGAATGAGCAGTTTGCTTGTTTGCATGACAGATTCAGGAACACCCTCCCCCATGCCCCATTTGCATTGAGGGTTTATCTATTATTTTGTTGCATCTGTTCGTTTTCATTTCGATTCAGTTTCAGATTCACACTTTCATTGTTTATACACGGTTTCACCACCGTCTCCGTTGACACATGTGTCCACTTTTGGAATGGCAGCCGCAGACAGTCACAGCTAGTCTCTACCCGTTGTTAGTTAGCGGCGGGCCTGTCGCCGTGTGTGTGATGTGGCAATGTGATTCGGCACATTCCTTCACATCAACTGGAAGAGAACGCAGCATCGAAGTTGTACAAACGCACAAAACTCCTGCATGCTGTGGCCCTCCAGTTCCCCCGTGTGCTGCTGTCTGTCTGTCACGCGTGGGTCACCTGTGCATGGCGTCTGTTTCAGTGTCCCAGTCCAACTGGAGTGAAGCGCAATGTTTGTGTCTTCCACATGTGCAGTAGTTTCCTGTTGGATCCTGCTATATCTCAATCATTTGAAACAGTGTAGCGGTGAAATCCACCAGATCTTTGTCAGTTCCTCACCTGTTAAATGTTCTCAAATGTTCCTTCGGCAAGTCTGTATGGGAAGTTACCAGGACTTGTGTTCTCTTGCAGTGAGACGGGTTCCACCCCGGTTCTCCATTCCCCCGACGGACAATGAGATCATGCCCGGTGGCAGCGTTAACATCACCTGTGTGGCCGTCGGGTCACCGATGCCCTATGTTAAATGGATGTTGGGGTCGGAGGATTTGACCCCTGAAGATGACATGCCCATTGGGCGAAACGTGCTGGAACTCACTGACGTCCGGCAGTCGGCCAACTACACATGTGTCGCCATGTCAACGCTGGGCGTTATAGAGGCGGTCGCACAGATTACGGTCAAAGGTGAGAATCCACGAGATGACTCGACACTTAACATTCCAACCGGCACCAAGCTCCTGTTATTTGATCTGTCTTATCACATTCTGCAGATGAATCCACAAGCTCCTACTGTTGGCACACTTGATCGCTCAAACAGGCCGACACACTTACAGCTGTTCACATCCACACACACAAAGCCTTTGTCTCCAGCAGACATAACAAAATCACATTAGTCATAATATGCTCCAAGAGACAGCACGCAAAGACTAAACACTATCTGTCCTATCGCCAGCCTCACCTAATGCGCTCTGAATTAAAGCAATAAATTACAGCCCGTGGAATATTTAAGACATGTTATAAACAAACCATAGAGCCTCTCTTTCCTCTGGGGTAACTTGGTTTTCTCCTTATCGCGGAGGTACTGTCAAGACTCTGAGCTTTTTTGCTGTATTACATTAGCGGCAAACAGTGCTATAACCCGCGTCTACTGTTCCTGTGTTGGCAGAGCAAGCTGACACTTTAACCTTCGGCTAGTATCCCAAGGGAAGAACACATGGTTCGTGAATGCTAATGACAAAGCCATACTACACTGTTTAGCTTACCAATACAATAGCACACACAACAAAGACATTTCCTCTAAATCAGGAGAATAGCCATTTCACACCTGTTTGCTAGTTTTCAAATATTTAGAAATGTCTATGTCCTTTGAGAGTGAGGGGAGAATTCACTAAACTGATACGTGCACGTGCTGTTCTATTTTTCAATGCATCTTCAATAACCATTTGCAATCCAGGCATTAAAAGTGCTGAAATGCCACCTTTTGTAAGTAAATTAGCTCATTATAGAATGCACCTCAGGGAAAAAGTAGGCAGATTTGGATATTTGCTGTATTGAATCATGCACTAAAACGGGCACCATTCAGTTTTAGTGATTTCCCCCTACAATCATTATTATTGCTCCAGTAATCACAAGTAACTAATTACAGTGGATTTTCCATTTTCCAAATAATTGAAATGCACTGATGAGCTTCTTCATTGTTGCTCCAGCTTTACCGAAGCCACCAGGTGTTCCCCAGGTAACGGAACGCACAGCAACAAGCATTACGCTCACATGGGATTCTGGGAATCCCGAACCCGTTTCTTATTACATCATCCAGCACAAGCCCAAAAACTCTGAGGACTCTTTTAAAGAGATTGATGGAGTCGCCACCACTCGATACAGCGTGGGTGGGCTAAGCCCTTACTCCGACTACCAGTTCAGAGTAGTCGCAGTGAATAACATTGGACGCGGGCCTCCCAGCGAAGCCATTGAGTCCAAAACAGCGGAGCAAGCACCGAGTACCGCCCCGCGGCAAGTCCGAGGGCGCATGCTAAGTGCCACGACCGCCATCATCCACTGGGATGAACCCGAGGAGGCAAATGGGCAGATTACAGGCTACAGGGTTTACTACACCACCGATCCCAGCCAGCATGTCAACCAATGGGAGAAACAGATTGTAAGGACTTCCAACTTCCTCACCATTCCGGGCCTAACGCCAAATAAGACTTACTACATCAAGGTCCTGGCCTTCACCTCTGTAGGAGATGGACCGCTCTCTTCTGATTTGCAGATCATAGCCAAAACTGGAGGTGGGTGTTGGGAATTACAGGAATAACAGCTCTTGTTGTTTACTTTTTGCAGTATTTTAAATATTGTTTAAATTGAATCATAATATATGTTAGAGTCAGAAGCTTAACATAGCGTCATGAATAATTTTATATCACACTATGGCTCTTTTTGCTGGAAATTCAACATAAAAACATTTAATGCCATTAATGTATGTAATATGTATTTTTGCATAAGCCCCTGAATGAATGACTTCATTTGAGTTATTTTCTGTTTTAATTTGTAATTTAGTAGACACAAAGCAAAAGATCAGATGATCCTTAGCCGATGAATGTCATCGTGGTAAAAGCACTTTATGAAATCTTGAGTTTGGATTGGATGACTGAATGGGCTTTATTCATACATTGAATCTGTTATGAGCCTCGAGTTACTAAGCTTGTCCACTAATGCATTCCCAAGATGCAAACATGTAGAGAAATGACTGTGATGGAAATGATCATTTGTATCACTTCTGTTGTTTATTATAACATTTTTATAGTGCCCTCTCAACCAACGGACTTCAAAGGCGAAGCCAAATCTGAGACGAGCATCTTGCTGTCGTGGAACCCGCCGACTCAGACGGGCCAGGACAATCAAATAGTCGGATATGAGCTGCTCTATAAGAAAGGAGATGACAAAGAGGAGGTCTGAATGTGAACAGTCGTTGGCAAACGTCTTCACTCGTCTAAGTCGCAGAATTTATGTCATTGCTCAGGTTGACTGTACAAACTCTATTCTGTCGTTCCTTCCTCAGAAACGAGTAAGCTTTGAGCCCACCACAACCTATTTACTGAAAGATCTGAAGCCGTTCACTACCTACACGTTTCAGCTGGCCGCTCGCAGCAAACACGGCATCGGCGCATACACCAACGAGATCTCAGCCGAAACGCCTCAGACACGTAGGTCCCTTTCTGTCTTTACTGTCTTTCCCAAACACAGCGGTTCAAGAACAGGCGCAGCACTTAACAAAGCAGAAATCCTCCATTTCTCAACAGCGTTTGCTAATGTTATCCTGAATTTGTTTGAGCAGTGCTTTACAACGATATTTTTTTGAGAGATGGAGGCATTTCTGTTCTCCGCTTTAAGGGCGATGTTAGCAAACGTCTTGTTTGAATGAAAGGCAACTGGTGGAAGATGCAGTCAAATGACAAGGTCACTTTGTTCAATTTGGCATCATTTATTAGCCAAGTAAGATATGAGACTGAATTATTCATCTGTTTGGCTGCAGCCGTGCCTTGTTTTTTGACTTTGGCTATTGTATACCACACTGCATTTGAAAGATTTACCAAATTTGGAAAGGTTCCCTCTGGAGCCTTGTTTAAGCTCAAATGCAATGATACGTAGCTAGAAAAGAGAATCGCATTCCCAAAAGACCTCATATTTATTCTTCATTCGTTCAAGTTGAACCATAACCAAACCTTTAGATCAACTCCTTCATTAATTTCGCATAATTTGATGCATAAGTAATGTATGACTGTGCTTCACTTCGTACTCACAATTTGAGACAATCTGAATAAATCTGAGGTCCTCTGAGTACATGCCAGGTAAGTATCTCGGAGGGCTGTTTTTGCGGTAGAGTGTTTGCATGTCCAAGTCTAGAAATGTCAGTCAGGAACTCTTGGACCAACCAGGCTTTTACCTCAAACCAACAGGCCTCGGAAAGGTTGGTGAGCAATGCATTTCCTGTTTTTACAGAGCTGACACATCAACCTTTGAAATTTTGGATTGATGGTAACTGCTTGGAGGAAACAGGGCCCGATTTAAACGCAGCTCATTTATATATTTCGCAGTGCTGTTGATGTATGACGAGAGCAATTGAAACGTGAGCCCTGAATTTAGGATATTTAGGGGGAAAATGACATATGTAGAGTTACGAAGGTAGGTTCTGTAGCTTCAGGGTCTGCACCAGTCCCACCCTGCACAATTTGTGAATTTGTTTTATCTTTTCTACCTCCTTATGAGAAGTCTGTGACATCTCTGCCCGTTTTGTTGTTCTTTTTAAGCTTCATTAAATTTATTTTCATGTCATCATTTTTTTTTTTATAAATGTAGTCCCTGTGATTCATCCTCATTTGATTTCATTTTATGTTCCCTTTGTTTTTTGTATTTGTTTGTCCATCAACATCATCTCCACCTCCACCACAAAAACAAAAAAATCCTCTTACCTCAACCCCCGTGAACCTCACCTGGATCCAACCAAACTCCAAAACCACTCAAATCCAATTCAATGACTATTCTGCTCCTCCCACAATCCTCTGATCCTCCAATCAGAGCCCTCAGCTCCACCCCAGGAAGTCAAGTGTACTAGTCCCAGTTCTACCAGCATTCTGGTAAGTTGGAAACCGCCGCCGGTGGAGCTCCAAAACGGAATCATGACCAGATACACCGTCCAGTACGCGGCGACCGAAGGCGACGATACCTCGTTGCATCAAGTCTTGGACATACCGCCAGAAAAGTACCATTATCTGTTGGAAAACTTGGAGAAATGGACGGAATACCGTGTGACAGTGAGCGCCCACACTGAAGCGGGAGAAGGCCCTGAGAGTTTACCTCAGCTAATCCGTACGGAGGAGGATGGTATGTCTTACGCACACGCCACTGTGACCCTATGCTAATGTCTACCTTTAAAACACGCCCCACTTCTGCCAGACTTCTGCACAAAGCACCCTAACACCCCTCGCCCCTCTCGCGCCCTCTATTTACACTAACTCTACTAACCAGGATTTTTTGTGACTTTTCACCGAACCAACATTTGTCCCCCTTTGGCAATTTTTGGGAGAATTTTCGAGAGAATTTTTCAGACCTTTTTGCTTGGCCAGACTTATTTCATGGCATGTTCTTCTGACGACCTTAAACTTCCAACAATCCCAAATGTCTTGCTGTTTTTTCCCCATTTTCTTATTAAGATCAATGAAATGGCTTTTTTAATGGAGTGAAACTCATTTTCATACATGAAAAAAGACAACTAAATCGAGAGTGAATCTTCAGAAATGGGGCTTTTTTTCTCAAACGTCCCACGATAATTACATTTTTTCTTAAATTTGTCCATTTGTTTTTCTTTTTGTCTTCACTCTATCATAGCCAAACTCCTTTGGAGTGCTTCAAACCTGAAACACTCCTCTTGGCTTATTTTTGCTTGTTTTTATTCCATATTTTGACTCCACTAAACCCATTTTTCAGAAGAAAAAAAATTAGGTCAGCTGTGTGACCTGTTTTGGGGGATTGTTTTTGTTTTTCTCTCTCTCGCTGGTCTGGGCTTCAGTGGGAATACGATGATTCAGCCGAACATGTGAGTACATCGCAGAATTATGCAGCTTTATTTACATACACTTTCTTTCCTTGCTGGCCTATTAATATTATTTTGCGTAACCATCTAAAGATGCCATCTCATTCATTAACAATACATGTGAATAATATCTGCATATGAATGTTATCACAAAAATCCTGATTTTGAAATTTTGAAACAACTTAAATCACACATTTGCATGCAAACTCACAGACACATGCAGTATGTTAATCGAACATTTTTATTCATAATAGTATCATAAGAAACTGAATAACTCAGTGACCCAGCAGTAATGCTTTCTAATTTCTTATTTAAACAAAATAATTAGTCATTATGCTAAATACTACTTATGGACATGCATGCATTTAAAAAAATCATGGCATTAGAATGAGGGGATGAACACATGCATGTGTGTTTGCACCTGTAAAAACACATTTATGCATTTAGCGCCATCTCATTCATTAACAATACATGTGAATAATATCTGCATATGAATGTTATCACAAAAATCCTGATTTTGACATTTTGAAACAACTTAAATCACACATTTGCATGCAAACTCACAGACACATGCAGTATGTTAATCGAACATTTTTATTCATAATAGTATCATAAGAAACTGAATAACTCAGTGACCTAGCAGTAATGCTTTCTAATTTCTTATTTAAACAAAATAATTAGTCATTATGCTAAATACTACTTATGGACATGCATGCATTTAAAATAATCATGGCATTAGAATGAGGGGATGAACACATGCATGTGTGTTTGCACCTGTAAGCCATAAGGAGATCACCACGCCCGAGGACACTCCTGCCGGTTACCCACAAGGCATCGTAGCCCAAAGTAGCACGACCACCACCATTCAGGTCAGCTGGCAGCCTGTGGCGTTAGCCGAGCGCAACGGAGCCGTCATCAAATACGCCCTTCAGTACAAAGACATCAACAGCCCTCGCAGCCCCTCAGAACTGTTCATCACAGCACCCGAGTCCACCGTCACGCTGGACGGCCTTAAAGCAGACACCACGTACGATATTAAAATGTGTGCCTTCACCAGTAAGGGCCCCGGCCCTTACAGTCCTAGCGTCCAGTTCAGAACGCAACCCATCAACCAAGGTAGGAGGCTCGCAACACCCTCTCGGCCCCGTTTGCCTTCTCCTACAACCTTAAGTCACCTGTGAGAAAGAGTTTGGATTTCAGAACCAAAGCAAATCAGAAAATGTCCCTAGCATAGCTAGTTCAAATCAGTTAGCGTCCTGCGGAGAGTCGATGGTAAGCTGCAGGTAAGGTTGGAGCTCTGGGCTAGTCCTCATGAGGTAGCAGGCGAAGTGCTTGGCAGGTAAGGCTGATGTTGAAACGAAGTGCTGCGGATCTGTTTGTCTAATTCATCTGCCCCAACTTTCTTTTAGCAGTGTTTGCAAAAAATTTTCACGTGAGAGCTGCCATGAAGACCTCAGTGCTGCTGACGTGGGAGATTCCCGAGAACTACAACCCCGCGCAGCCGTTTACGGTGAGAGACTCGGAGAAACCGTTAGCCTGCATGAGGTTCTGTCAGCTAGAAACCAGCTACATAGCCAGCTTCCTTTTGTGAAAAAGAAGTGTGCTTAATTGGATTTTAAGATGCACTTGTAGTGTACTTCAAAACTTAAAAGTATAGTAAAAAAAAACATAAAAGGCACCTTAAGGGACTTAAAGAGAGTCACTTTCATGAATTTCTTTCTAAACACACTTAAGTACACTTTTAAAAAGTGATCTTTGTAATAATGTGAAATGAAGTTTTTTTGAAGTTTCAAATCATTGTTTTAATAATCTTTTGTGCTGTTTTAACACTTAAGTACACTTATTTTGATGTGTTGAATAACATACTAAAGCACATGAAAATACCTTGATTAGCATTTTAACTGTAGTGTTATTCAATATTAGCATTAAAGTTAATGTTTTAAATTTACTGAATTGCAGCTTCATCGTTACAGATATATTTAAATACATGACATGCAAGTTTCAATAGAAATGACATTAAAGTATATTTTAGTTGATCATAAGTGCTTCTCGGTACATTCAGCAGTACTTTAACCATATTTCAAAGACAGAAGTCATTATAAAATTACATATAGAGATGCGCTTCAGTCCTACTTAAGTGGGTCAAAAACACTAAAATTCAGCTAATTGCATTTAATGTAAATTTAAACTATAATACATTTTAATTTAATTGCAAGTAAAATGCAGTTAAGCGTCTGAAAACATTTGATTCAGTTCACACTTAAGTATTTTATTTTAAAGTATTTTTTGTAATAAGTACTCTTAGTATGCCAAGTATGCTCTAAATATGCTCCTTTTTCACAAGGGACCGTCTAAGGCAGAGTAGCACAAAATACGGCATAACGGATACATGCGTTACGATTTAATATTTGGCCGAAAGAAGGTATCATCATAATGCTGCCTAACATTTGGAGCATCCCTTAAAATGCTGCCTACACAGGCTGCACACTAGGTTTTGGTTCACTAGCTCCAGCTAACACATTAAAACTGGTTAAAGTCTGGCGTGACGGTGGTTCCTCGTAGATCCTGTATGATAACGGCCAGAGTGTGGAGGTGGATGGGAAGCTGACGCAGAAGCTCATCACAAACCTTCAGCCGGAGACGCAGTACTCCTTCCTGCTCACCAACCGTGGGAACAGCGCCGGAGGACTGCAGCACCGCGTCTCCACCATGACAGCGCCTGACATACTGCGCACCAAACCCTACCTGATCAGCAAGACCAGTTCAGACGGCATGGTCACGGTCGAGCTGCCGGCTGTTCAGACGGCTGAGAAAGTGAAGTGAGTACCAGTTCTGCTTTGTGTTTGAGTTTAACGAGAGAAGCACCATGGGCTTTACGAGAAGATCGTTCACCTGCGTCTCGACACTACGTCTTTAAATCTTTGCCAATTGTTGGATCGCATTTACCAATTATTCTGTTTAGTCTTTCCATCTCAAGTGGTCCAAAAGATGGTTGTTTGACCATCTTTAATTTTCCTCATTTTCCAACCACTTTTTTTTTATCTTATTCTTACAAAAGCGGAGGTCTTGGTGTCATGGCCCACAGTACATTTTTGGTTTCAGAAACCTCAATATCAGTTCAGAATGGTTCAGTGAATCGCAATGAACAAAAACTGATCTCTAGTTCACATTACATTTACATATTTAAATAGTGTGCACATTATTGTTCTTTTGACTTGGAATTTAAGTTGAAATGATCATAATTTAGGGTCACTTTATAATGGGAAGTATCTGCCATGTTTTTGGGGGGTTTCTATGTATGTATATTAAGCATACAGAGCTTTATTTTATTTTTTTTAATGAAGTGAGAATTGTGCACATTTTAGTTGTGATTACATGGAAAAGAATGACTAGCATTCTTCAAAATATCTCTTTTGAGTTTCTTGGGAGAAAGAAAGTCATATGAGTTTAGAAAGTAGATGAGAGTGACGGCCTGTTTTTGGCTGTTCTGTCTATCAGAGGGAAGCGTGAAACTGAGCCCAGCGGCCTGGAAATGAAACTAGACTAAAGCGCGGTGAGGTTGGCAGGTTATTGATGTGTTTACCGAGGGTCGCTCTCTTTCGTCAAACATGTGGTTAATCCAGTGTCATCCCGAGTGGATTGGAAAGTCCAGATTGATTGGAGCTAATCTTGATGGATGTCCTGACGCTGTCAGCACAACCTTATAGACTCTGTCTGGCTCTCTCTGTAGGGGTTACTACATCGTGGTGGTGCCGCTGAAGAAACAGCGGCCCGGAAAGTTCATCAAACCCTGGGACAGTCCGGATGAGATGAATCTGGAGGAGGTAAGAGATGCCCAGTCCACCTCACACCAGCGTTTAGAGTCATTGCATCATTCATGAGGCCTTACTGATCAGGCAGTGGCCCCTGTAAAGGACATGATTCCCAACGCAACTACCAGCAGTTACGTGAAAAGAAAGCAGCGAGAGCTCGCAATTGCACCATCGGCTCCAGTCATATGCAAATAATGGAAACGGGAACAAAAGTAGCTCTCCTCTAAAGACAGGACGAGAGGGCGAGAGATAGTGGAAGACTGCATTATTGCTCCAGCCAAACGTTCGATATTATTTTTAGCCGGGGTAAATATTTGAGAGGCTTTTCTATGGCGAAAGACAACGAGTGTTTTCCTCTGAATTGCGCCAGACGGGCTGCTGAACGCCAGCCACTGCTCAGGAAGGGGCGGCACCATGCAGATATCTGCATTCTGATTGGCTGACAGTTGGACATGCCCCTCCCCCCGCCAGCTGGCCTGAGGTGCTTCTGCAAACCTGGTTACTGATAGTTCAGTGCGTGCAGTTAATGAAGAAAACACACCGTCAGCACTGCAATCGTCGCCATTCCCTCAACATCAGACCAAACGCCACAATGACATTTACTAGACGGTTGTTTACCAGCTATATATATATATATATATATATATATATAGTGTTTTTACTTCCCTTCCAGCATACACAAACACTCACTCAATTTATTTGACTGTCAATATTTGAAGTTGCCTGTTGAAAGTGGCTCAAGGGCAGAAGGACTGAATCAGTTTTGACGGATTGAACGGGATTGATAGAAAGCTTTATCAGAGCGCCGGCTCACAGCAAATGCCTGCAAATCACTCACACACACTCACACACACACACACACACACACACACACACACACACAACGCACACACGCACACACACACACACACACACATAATCTCTCTCACACACACACACACACACACTTTCTCTCACAGAAACACACACACACTCTCTGTCTCACACATATACACACACACACTCTCTCACACACACATGCACACACACACACACACTCACACGCACACTCACACACGCGCACACACTCACACTCACACACACACTCTCACACATACGCACACACGCACACACACACACACACACACATAATCTCTCTCACACACACACACACACACACTTTCTCTCACAGAAACACACACACACTCTCTGTCTCACACATATACACACACACACTCTCTCACACACACATGCACACACACACACACACTCACACGCACACTCACACACACATACA